TAGGCTGGCTGAGCGTGGCTGCGCGCATCGAACACCAAGTTTGTGACATACGCACACAAGTATAATCACATGCCCACTGAAGAGCTAGCTAACTCGCAACCCTGTTACAACCAACTTGTGCTGCGCACGCCAATGACATGACAGGCATTTCGTAAGCCGCACGCACGAACTGAAGCGAGTGAGCTTCGCTTTCCGTTCAGAGGCATACCAGTTTGGAACAGTGTCCTACAGAGCAAAACAGTGTGGTTCGATAGCTAGGCTGGAGCGATTACAGCGAAAAGCAGCTAGGGCGATAAATGGGATTGGCAATTTAGAATAGAAGGATAGGCTTAATCCTTAGATTTGTATTTACTAAAATATCGTAGACATAGAGAGGGTCAAGCAAGCGAGTATAGTGCTAGGCGCCTATGGTCTGGGTTTCTTTTAAAATCATAACTGTCAGTTTAGGTTTTGTCCCAGAACAACTGTTGAATTTACGACCTTAAGCAACGCTTCAACCGGTGAATCATAACTTATCTAATAAAGTATAAATATCAAATATCTAATAAAGAGTACTCTGATAAAGTATCAGATAATAACGTACTTAGCTTAACTAGCCGTACAGCCACAGGTGTCGATTTCTACTCTTTGGGTGGGCCACTGCCCCTCCTCCAATGTCCAATCTGCCCCTCCCCCCGACGTGAGCTTGGCTCCCTCAACCTTCCATGGCCCAAGCGCACGCACGACATTTAAAATAATTAGAGCTGGAAATGATATTTGATTTAAAGAAAGTTTCTACCATTTGTTTCACAGGTGTAAGAACCCAAAAAAATAAAAACTGCGATATCATGTCCAGTTTAATGAACCTGACTGACCTAGTCGCACATTTAAAGCTACTCGGTTGTATCGTGTTTGCTTGATTTTTCCTTCGTTATTTCTGCAGGCGACATGTTTTTAATTGCACGATCCATATCTCTTGTCGACTATGGTCTAGTTTTGTGCTATTGTGCGGCGTTTTGACATTGTTCAGCGATGTTTCAAGTCATCTAGATCGCAGCAAGTTGCGTTATTTCGCTATGTCTTCTCGAAAAATGAAAAGAATTCGGTGGAATATTCGCACCCAAAACATAACCAAGTTATGAGCCGTCTACATTGGGAGCAACCCTTGAAATGTGTCGACCTGCACTCCGACGTGAATATTCGATGGAACAGTCGCGAGAACCTGACAATCGACACCAGCCGAGTAAAACCGATAGCGGTAGTCGTCTGACCAAGACAGAAAGCGCTAGGCCGTGTCGAACATGTCTAACGTATGTGCTGCGCCTGCACCCTGCCTTGAGGCAATCAGCTGGGATTTCCCTAGCAGACGTCAATGGTTGCGCATATCAACTTACATGATTTGCTCCCGAAGCTAACAACGCCTGAAGCCACATAATACCGTCCCTACGTCGATTACCGAAAAATGGTTTCGACGATGGGCACTGACCAAAATCATAATGGTGCGCAACGATATCTTCGGCCGAGACAGAGCAAGAAAACGTTTTAGACCAAGATGTATCTTGTCATTCTGCTGCCCAGTGGAGGGCCTCCAGCTCCATAACGTCGTTAAGAGGAAAGTGGGTCATATGCGGGAAGTAACCTAAGTGTGGTGTACTTGGTGCTAGGCTTTCCCTGCTCGTCGCCACCACTCCTATTTTGCGAAACTGCACTCCTATGGTGGAGTCTTAACGACCGTGACACGCGAGGGACTTGTCCCCAGATTATACTCCAGTGCCGGCTCTAGGGCTTAGGGCGCATTTCCCAAGCAGGGACAGGACCGGGATCCGCGGTTTCCATTGGTCGGGGCACTTATGTCAATGAGGGATCCCTGTATCGGTTAGGGGACTGCTGTGCCTAACAAGGGTCCTATATTGACAAGGGGCCCAGAGTCGACCTGGGGCGGTGTTCGAGGGGTCCGCACAGGAGCCGAAGGGCTCCTCGGGACCGACGATCAATTGTCCGACTGGAGGGCACAGAGGCAGGGCTGGACTCTGAAATGTCAGTCAGAGTGCCTCTCGCACCGATTGGGGACGCCTTGGGACAATGCGGGCCTCTATTTCGGTCACAGACAACCAACACCGAACAGTCGGCTACGGGCCAGCCTAAACCCTAGTAGCCCATTTCCCAAGCGTGGGCATGATCGAGACCCGTGAAGTGCTTTGGCCGGGACCCCTGAAGCAATGAGAACGTCTTTGTCGGTCAGGGAACCACCCTGCCTAATAAAGGGCCCAGTGTTGGCAAGGGGCCGCCAGCCGGCCACGGTAACATTTCTGTGCAGGGTCAGTGACGGAACCCCGAAAACCAGGGAACTCTTGCGTTGTTCGAGACCTTCTGACAATGAAGATGAAAATGAGAGTTTATGATGGGAATCCGCAATGCGGCAATGGAAGGCCCGTTGTCAGCAGACCCGGTACCG